ATTGGGCTGTGGATTTTTCTCCCCTTGCTTCCTCCTCTAGCAATATAGTTACGCAACTTCATTTTCTAGTGTGGACCAGGCCCATGTTCATTGCAGGTTCCATGAATTCCAGAATAGCAAACATCTCCATACTTTTCAGACTTCAGTGTGTGTGAGATGAATTCAGAACTTGTCTGGATCACTTGTAAAGAGCAGGACAGTAGCTTAGCTCTTCAGAATTAGAGAATCAGAAGCGTTAGGATTTTTTGGAATGGCTCAGTAGGAAGCCTTTTAGTTAGAATATTTTCCTATTGAAAAGAGAGGCAGTGTGCCAGTAGGAAAAATAGCAAAACAAAAGCAGAAGCCTGAAGTGTACAGGTCACCGTGCAGTTAGCTTTCCAGGTCATTAACAGCCAAGTTTGTTTCAGACTTTACAAAGCTTTCTCCCTCCCCTAGTTAAATCAGGTGATAATGGAGCTGCTAGGTAGTTCTGGGCTGTCTTTGTAGCAGCTCAGAGCAAAGAACCAGCGTCTTAGTATAGTAGAATAGTGGTAGAGATGTAGCCGTGTTAGTCTGGGGTAGCTGAAGCAAAATGCAGGACAATGTAGCACTTTAAAGACTAACAAGATGGTTTAGTCTTTAAAGTGCTACATTGTCCTGCATTTTGCTTTAGTATAGTAGAAGATTTATTTTTTTGTATACACTTTAATTTTTTAAGCAAAATTTTCTCCATATTTTGCCAGTCCTGTTAAAGCTGAGGAATTTCTCTAAGGCTGTGTCTGCACTAGCACCTATGTCAGCAAAATGTATATTGCTGAGGAGTGTGAATATTCCATCTCCCGAGGGACAGAAGTGTTCCTGTGCCCAGTACTACGGCAGCAGGAGAGCTTCTCTAGCTTCTGACGTGCAGCGAGAGCTATCGGGAGAGCTCACCCATCAGCATAGACACACTGCAGCAGTGCCAGTTCAGCTGCTCCGCTGTGTGTATTAACATGGCCTCAGATACTACAGCCATTTGAACCTGTTTGAACTGTTAAAAGGTTTAGCCGCTTTTTGGGTTGAAATGAATAACCCTTTGGCATCTGACTGAGATTTGTGTCCTGCTGACTTGTAGCAAATTGGGAGAGGGAGAAGCTCTAGAAAAGGTGCTGAGAGATTCTTTCGTCACCTTTGAATGGCTTTGCGTTGACAGCGGAGTGACGTTGTGGGCAGGTCTGATGGGGTAAATCAGGCTTTGTGGTCCTGCCACACACTGCCCCAGAGAGATAATAAAGAAGTCCTCTAAGCAGGCTTGAGTATAAGTGGAGCAAGCAGCCAGTCAGGGTCCAGGAAGGCCCTATAAAAGGAGCAGTAGTCAGTGCCTCTGGAGACCTCAGGGTGTGCAGACCTGGTGACTGGCTGGCTGGCTGAGAGCGGCAGCCCCGCAGATCCCTCTATGTGCAGAGCTTATGGGGGACTGCTGGTCTGTGCTGGGGCTCTGAGCTAAAGGACTGAGGTAAGCTGCCTCGGGGGAGAAGCCGTGGGGGCACCACTCTCTGCTGACTGGAGAACTGAGTCCGAGGGATTTGATGAGTTGCACATAGGGTGCGTGACTTGGCCAGGAGGCTGAGTTGCTGAAGAGGCTTCAAACAGAGATAGTGCAGGCATGTGCACTTGGCCAGAAGGGGTGCTTGGGGGAGGTGAAGGTCGCCCCATTACAGCATGTCTCCACTACCAAAAAACCATGCAGCTGTGGGTCTCAGCAGGCTCGGTGCACAGCACTAAAAATGTCCATGCAGATGTTCCTACTCAGGCTGGAGCCTGAACTTTGAGACCCATCTCCTTTGTGGAGCCTGGCCCGCAGCTGGAGTAGGAACATCTGCACTGCTGTGTTTAGCCTCAGAGCAAAAGCCTGAATCAGCTGCCTGCACTGGTTTGATTCAGGCTCCAAGATTTGCTGCTGCAGGGTTTGATTTTGTTTAATTTGGTTGGATTGGAGAGGTACCCTCAGCACCTGGCAGTTGTAGTTGGCCACTGACTGATGCTAGTAGAACTCTAGGCCCACACAGCACTGAGTCTAGTGGGGCACAGCGCAGGCAGATCCGCAGTAGGATCAGGCCATTGCTTGTACCTCCTGCTCTGTGTGCATAGTGTGATAGGACTTGCTTCACATCCAGTCCGTCTTTTACTTCCCTCAGAGCATGTGACTGGCTTGAATGAGGCCTTGTCTGCAGCAGGCCATTAGGTGGTTAAACCACCCTAGCCCCTGTGTAGACAGTGCTAGGTGAGGGCGGAATTCTCCTATTGACCTGGGAGGTGGGAACGGGAGAGTTCCTCCGGCAGGTGCTGTCTTTACTGAAGCGCTGCAGCAGGGTCCTGCTGCATTCTAAGTGTTGACAAAGCCTTAAGCTTAATTGGGCGTTTACCAGAAAACCTCCTGGACGGACGTAGCTGTGTTAGAGCAGAAACATGATCCTGTTTCTCCATTCTGTGCTTCATTTACACTGTCGTGGTTTACTAACCTGAAGATCTCTGCCCATAAGATTCACAGAGGGAAGAAAATCCACTAGAGCTTTTTAACCCCGAAACATAAACCAATGGTGCATTCCCCCAGAATTGTGCATCTTCAGACAACTCATTGGACACTGGTCAATGACCTACATGGAATCTCTTTTAAAAATAAACGAACAAACAGTAAAAGCCTTTTATGTAAGTTACAGACAGGGTTTGAAAGATTAGATTTTTACTGATAAATGTTAATTACTGTGCACACACAAACTGACTAAAAATCCATTGATGAGGATTGAAATTTACATACAGACTAAATAAGAAAAATGCTACTTGAAAAAAGTCCAGTGACATTTTATTTAAAATTGTTACAAATGGACTCATGGATAGTTTCAGCTCTAACCAGAATGTTCACAGGAATACCTAGGCCTGTGCTACACTAGGTTTGCTGTGTCCTTTTATGTCAGTTACGTGCATAGTCATGGACCAGAATGGACTTTCTCCGAGGTTAACTCTAGTTGTGGCAGAACAAAGTCCTTCCATTTAACTTCCTTAAAGCTTGTCTGTATGTTCTGTGAAGCTCTGGCTCCCTCCTTTGTAGCTTAGGGATCTTGCTGAAGTTTTAAATCATCTTCTCTCTTGGCCAGGACATGACTTTCCACTTCAGCTACAAGAATGTGCCGCTGCTGTTTTCTGGACTGGTGATCAATACGCCTGGAGGTTAGTAAAGCTGTTAGCAAAGCAGCTGGCTTGCTGCGCTCACCCAAGCCCAAACCAAAGGCTTGCTACTGAGCAGCGTTGTCTGAATGATCCCACACCATAAGGTCAGGCGTTTCGAGAGTGTCTAAATGAGATTGTTAACAGGTTTGAAATTGGGGCCCAGAGACCGAAGGGGACAAGACAACGTTCTTGTCACTATTCAGGTGTTTCAAGAGTAGTCAGTTTCACTTCACGGGGTTGGATGTCACACTCCCTGTGGCCTGTGTGGTGGGAGCTGCTTGTTGGATTGTTAGGTGCTTTCTCTATGTGCGTGAAGCAGATGTCTCATTCTGTGCAGAGTCCGTAACCTTGTGCTGTCCTTTCCTGTTTGCCAGAAATGGCTGGTGCTTTCGTGGCAGTTTTCTTCCTAGCCATGTTTTATGAAGGCCTCAAAATAGCCCGGGAGAGTCTGCTCCGTAAATCACAAGTCAGCATTCGTTACAACTCCATGCCTGTCCCAGGACCAAATGGCACCACTTTGATGGAGACACACAAAACAGTTGGGTAAGAATCCACTTTCCCTCTAACACAAACACTGCTCAGCTCAGCAGAAAACAAAGGGAAGACTGGAACATAGCAAATTGTAGGCAGATCAAATAGTTCTCTGCTGTAAAACTAACCTCATGATTGTACATGCTTCATCCTGGAAGAGCTTAAAGAACAAACTATAACTCCAAGGAATCTTGGCACCCTTTTTGGAGAACAGGGAGTCCAGCAGCCAGTCTGCACCAGGCCCATGAGGCCCTTCCTGAGATGGGGAAACAAAGAACAAAAGCAGGGGAAGCCTGTAGGTAGGTGGGATGCTGTTTCCAATTTGAATTTGGACAGCGCACTCGGCTCTGTTCTTGCCGAAGGCACCGAAGGGTCATTCTGCCCACACAAGTGGTTGAGGCCACTGTTTGCAGACAGAGGAGCTGCCCTGTGTGGCTGACCGTGAGGGCCAGGTTGTGAAAGGTGCTGGAAGGGTTTTGACCCTCCAACCTTAGCAGTTGGATCACCCAGTGAACGTGGTTCTGTTCCTAGAACTGGTTTTGATTACAAGGCAGCCAGCTTCATGGGGGAAGCTGCAGTCCCCTGACAAACACATGTAATAGGAGATATGTTCTCTCCCATCTCTTGTGGTGTTTTGTGGCCACCTTGGCATTCCCAGCCCACAGATTGTTTTCACTGCAGGGACGCTGCATTCCCCATCCTGTGCCTTCGTTCACTGATTGATCCTTCTTTTCTGATTTCTCAGACAACAGATGCTGAGTTTCCCTCATCTCCTGCAGACAGTGCTGCACGTCATACAGGTGGTGGTCAGTTACTTCCTCATGCTGATCTTCATGACCTACAATGCCTTCCTCTGCATAGCTGTGGCAGCAGGCGCAGGCACTGGCTACTTCCTCTTCAGCTGGAAAAAGGCAGTTGTTGTGGATATCACGGAGCATTGCCATTGATGCTGGACACAGGGCGAGACCCTCTCTCTGCCCCTCCATTCGCTCCAACTGCAGTCATGAGTGGATGGGGATAAGTCCCAGGCTGACTGAGAACCAACGTACACCAGGAAAACCGGTGTGTGTGTGTGGGGGGGGGGGGGAGGTCCCCGCCAGTGTCCTAGTCAAGACAATGCACAGGCAGCTCACAGGGATTCCTGGTGTTGGGGGTTTCCCACCAAGCAGCCTGGTGCCAACACTAGATGGACCAGCTCCTGAGGTCACGTTGACTGGAGCCACCCTTGACCATGATGCATACTGTATTTGAGATTGTACCCTGACTGAAATGATGTAGCAAGTAGAATTTGACACAATTATTGAAATGTCCTTTTAAAACATTTTATTTGTAAAGAATAAATGATCAGAGCTGGAGATTTTAGGAATGGTTGTTAAAGGCACCAATAGGTGCCAATGGCTACTTTCATTTTCTAAAAAATCTGTGCTTGCCTCACCGGCTGGGAGAAGGGAATGTGACCGGCCTCTGAGGCAGCATTACCCTGTTTGTAGGAACCTCTCTCCACAAAATGTGGCTTGCTGCTGGTAGGTCACTAGCGGCTCGGGGCTGCTCTGAGAAGTGGGCACTGTTCTCATTAGCTCCAGTGGGCATGTTGTGCTGATATGTGTCTGGGCCAGACTGGGGCCCTTCCAAGCCCACGATTGTGTTTAACGTTGCTGGTTTTCTGCTGGATCCTTGCTCTGCTTGGAATATTTCAGACTGGCCACTGCAGCTCACTGATCATGGAAACGTACTTGTCACGTAGCAGAAAGAGACTTGAAATAAATCAATGGGGCTTCAATGGTTTCACCTCCATGTGCAGCCATGTTCTCTCAGACCCTGATTTGTCACTTAGTGAAAATTGTCATAATTGGCTCTGTTGTTCTGACTGTTGATAAGATCGTTTTTTCTCTTTTCTTTGCTGGTAAACCAAGTGACTCCAAGACAGCTATTCAAGCCTGGTATGTCTGGAGAGCGGCTTGCTTGGCTGGGTTGGCTGGCAGAGAGGATGCGGCAGCCTTAAAACTGGCTCCTCTTAGACAAGGAGAGGGATGTAGGGTCAGTTACAGGAGTGCCAGCCCTATAATCACCACACCTGGAACTCCCTCAGAGCCAGTGCCCGTGTCAGGGCTGGGTGGCAGCCTGCTTCCCTGTGCTAGGAGCCCAGTAGATTTCAGGAGCAAGGCAGGATTCAAGTTCTGCTGCAAGACCCCAGCAATATCTAGGTGCTGTGGGCAGCAGTGTGGATCCATCAGTCACAGCTCAGCGGTGGCTCTCAGGGACACTGTGCGCTAGAGGTGCCCCAAACAGGAAAGATGGAAAGTGGAGTCCTGACCGTTTGTTAAGGATCCCTTGGCGCTCCAGGTGACAGGTGGGCTGGCTCATTCGGATGGGAGGTATTGTGCGTGGTGTCCTTGGGTTCTTGAGGCCATGTCTGTTCGTTTTGGGCTCTCATACTGCAGCCCAAGGACAATCACGGGCCCTTGGAGCCCTGTCTGACCTGGCTGTGGGACAGGGGCCGTGGGTGTCTTCTAAGGGGTCTCATAGACTGGGACAGCTGCAGAATTGCTGCTATTCAGCTCATCTGAAAGGTGCTGCACAAATGCCAGTTGTTCTAGTCCCTGACCGTGAGGCGAGGGACAGGGCTGCATGGTCTCTGGTCGCCTCTCCTCAGGTGCTGTGACATGAAATAACTCACCAGAGGGGGAGAAATGGCAGCGGCAAGGGAGAAAAGAGCAAGGCTGGCCCAGGAGATACATAGTCAGTGCAGGCCCAGGCCCTGGCCCTGTGCTCTCTGATCTAGAGCAGCGTAGCTTGGGGACTCTGCTGCTGCTCCCTGCACAACGTTCTCACTTAACTCCTGCCAGGTGGAGATGAAAATCCCCCGTCAGACATGGAGGTGACAGCCGTGGACCAGCCGTGCAGGAAGAGCCCCAGCATGGCCTGTGTTGTCAGTAGCACAGGGTGAACTCTAGCTCGTCCTGGTCCTGTCCAAATCATTACTGACCCCTCAGCCCATGGCGGGTTGCTGCTGACTTCAGTCTGTCAGAAACCTGGGGGCTCAGCTATGATGAAGTGACATTAGCTTTCTCATTCACTCTCTGGAGGGGCTCATAGGCCTTGTTGTCACCCTGTGGAAGAGCGCCATTGCCACAGTCCATCTTCTGGGGTTTGATTTAGTGAGTCAAGACTCCCAAAATTGAACTCGGAGGGCACCCCCGTCGGCGACGGTACTGCTGCTTTTGCAAGGAGTAAAGGAAGCCGACGGGAGCACTTGCTCCCGTCGGCCTCCTGTTATGGGGACACCGCCAAGCTCGGCTTCAAGGAAGCTAACTCCAGCAGCTATGGATTCTAAGTAGCTGGAATTGGGTACCTTAAGCCCAGCTTCCGGGTCTAGTGGACCTGTAAATCAGTGGAGCAGAGAAAGGGGAAGAGTGGAGCTGGTGGAAGAGAGTAGGGTGAGATGTGAGAAGTAGGCTGCAGCATATAAACCAGGAGTCCTTCTGAGAAGAGTTTCTACATTCCCACATGCTGGCAGCTGGCTGTTCGGAGAGAGATTGGCAGCCTGGCTTGCTAGTAACAGCCATAGAAGATGGCTCTTGTGATAGGCGAGTGCAGAGCTTCCTAAGACTGTAAGAGTTCCAGGACACTGAGGTTACAGCTCCTGGGGTCTTGCTCCTTATTCTCTCTCTCCCTGGGCCCAGCTCCTCAGGTTGCTCCCTCAACATGATGCGACTCTCCCTCTTCTCCAGCATGCTTGGAAACGGGAGAGGGGTGGCACTGCCTCGAGTTCTGGGGCTAGTCAGACCAAGGCTAGGGGGAAAAGAGGGGAGCACTGGTAACGAGTACACTTCAAAACCTGAGCTGTGCCTGTCTACCCTTCCCTGGCTGCAGCATCCTCTCTTGGCTGGATGAGACCCTGATCTCTCGCAAGCTTCAGAAACTTCCCTACAGTCATTGTATTTCACTGGTTTGCTCAGAGTGGCCAGGGCCATACCTTAGCCTTGAGACCCGGCCAGCCCAGTATGATCTCAAGTGAGCTTGGGATGAGCCTTCAGGCAAGAGAGCCAGGCTTGACTCTGGTTAATAGAAACTGACAAGCCAAGGAGTGGTTCTAAAATAAACAGCATCACATCCCTCATTGGGTTACAAGCTCCACATGCTGCATCAGTTCTGGGTAACACCCCCTTTTCCTGACTGGAATCTATTGCAGGAGTGTCTGAGGCAGACCTGGTGGAAGAAAGCCCCCCCCCTCCCCCCGACTGCTAATTGTTCTGATACATGTATTGAACACGTTTAAAGATAGTGTGATAGTCTTTCTGCCAGTGTGGTGTTTTCAGGCAGCGCTTTCTGACTGTGACCTTGGATCAGTTGCAAGGGTTCTCTTCTTCTAGGCTCTGAATTCTGTGCAAATAAACTGCCTTTTGTTGCTTTTTTATCTAAGTGCCTTTAGGACATAAATGGAGTAGTGCCTTTTTGTTGAGTTCTAGTTAGTGCCAGCTGAATCACAGGGTCCATAATGTTTTTTTTAAGTCCATTGTTCTGGAAACAAGTTGTTTGAAATGCAGAGCGCTCCTCCAGTGTGTGTGTAATGAGTAAATAAAGCAGACTGCATTTTACTGGGGTGGAAGTGTCTTGGAACTTACCTCCAACATGGATGTGGTGAAGCTTGGCACTGAGCAAGCACCACCCGTCTCCACAAGGAGTAACTGTCTGGCTCCAAGTGGCTAGAGCACCAGCACCTAGACTGCTCAATGTGGCCTATCCCCAGCCCTGTCCATCTACCCCACGTCCCCAGGACGAGCACACTTGGACTTGCTGGCTTTCAAGAATGGAGGAAATGCACTTCAGTACCCATGCACCTGCACACGGAAAAAGCCTCCAGCGCTCTTGGGACAGTAGTGCTGGAGCTCACTGCTGCAGGACCAGCCTGGGTAGTTCTCCCTTTGTTTCAGTTACACGGGGTGAGAATTCAAGTGAATGAACAACGGTCAGCACAACCGCCATGTTTTCTGTAGCCAGCCTGGGCAGGAGAGCCATAAATTACTGCTGGTTTAAGTAGGTGAACTACGATGCCCGAGAGGAATTTTGCATGATCAGTAACTTCTCATTAGGAACAGGAGGACAGAACTAAGAACAGGAAGGTCTGCCACAGTATAGGACCCAGGGGGTTGCTCTCTCACTTGGGCTACTTGGAACAAAAGTGGCCCGTGGGTGAAGAAAATGGTGGAAAACAACTTTGAACAGAGGAAGACAACGAATATGGAAGCTAGAGCTGGAAAACCAGATGTTAGGGGGACCCATGTCCTGCCTTCCTGTCCCCAGGCTCTGCCAGTGGCATGGGGAGTCTGTCTTGTACACTGCCGAGACTCAGTTTGTGTAACCCAGCTCTCTCCCTTTAGGCCCCAAATAAGTGACGGAATTCCAGCCCTTCAGCTGACCATGACCTCACTCAGGCCTTACTTAACCTAACTTACCCAGTGACTGATGCTGCAGAGACCCTCAATCAAATGCTGAGGGTGCGCTGTTGGCCCAGGCAATCCACGGGGGTGTGAGGAGTAAGGAAAGGCCAGGGAAGAAGTTTCTCCTGCTGACCTCCTACAGTGGGGACATTGTGAAAATATGACTTAAGGTACATCAGCTCTAGCTGTGCTACTCATGTAGCCGGAGTGGTGGATCTTACGTTACATTTCTCCCCAGCATAGACCTGGCCTCAGAGAACTACTGGCCATGCAGCTAGTTAACCCTAGCGTTGCTCATTTTATCTCAAACTGTGTATTTTGCTGGTCCGCCTCCGCCAGAAACCAATCCACGTAGGGGTATATTGTTTGTGACCTTGAGTTAAGTCACCATGATTGGTGGCCTTCACTCTCTACCGCAAACACCCCGCAGCATTCTTAAAATTCCTATCAGCTACAGGCTAGTCCCTCTGCCATTTAATTATTTACTGCTTCCATTGGCCAAGTCAAACTTCCCGATCAGAAACCCCCCACAGCAAGTCATGCTTCCCAGCCAGGCTATTGCACTGTTTGCAGTACGTGGAGAACGAGATTGGATTGGGAAGGGGTTCTGAGCCTTCCACCTCAGCACGGCAGTACGAAAGCAGCTATGGTGTGATGACTGAAATGAGTTGAAGTCTAGCTCATTTCTTAGTAAATTAGCAATGCATGCACCAGCCATTGCCACTGGCTCCTTGCAGCACACCCGCAGGAGCCAAGCACTTGACAACTTGCAGAGTCTAGGGAAGCTTGCCCTGCCTCTCCCTAGTGTGGGGAGAAACCAAGTCTTTCACATACCAATGCCCAGTCCATTACACTGCACCATTTGGAGCTGGGCTTTCAAGAACACTGAAAGGATTGCTCTAGGGAGGCAGAGCTTTGCCTCTGTGCCAATCCCCATGAGGCAGTGGCCATGGTTGACTCCTGTTTTTGTCCCATGCAGGAGGCCAATCTGCTGTTAAAAATTTTCTGTTTGCCTTTAGGAGCCCCATGTGCATTTTCTGATATGTTGAGTATCTCATTTAAAAAAAATATTTATTTAAAACAAAGTGGCTGGGCAGAGAGATCTCTGGAAATGCAGTAATCAGTCAAGTTAAAACACACCCACTAGTCTTTGAAAGAGGCAAACACTTTCCCTTATTGAAGCCCAAGACTCGTTGGCAAATCCGGGCCAGTCCCAGCCAACTCTAGAGCTATGCAAACAGCCTTTGAACATCTTTGCCAGAACAGTCTGGAACGCAACCTCAGAGTCCAATGCTCAGCTGCCCACAAAGTAGCAGGCCCCCTAAACTCTAGAATTCAAAGCTTCCGAACTGGGAGGAACGGTTGCTGGGTTTGGGTTGAGGTTTGTAACCGATCCGGTCATTTATCATTTGTTCTCGGCTCTTATGGTCATTGCTCAGACCAATAGCTCCTTCTTCCTCGTTGGCTCCCACTCCATCCACCTCTTCACGCTGCTTCTTACGACTCTGCCAAAAAAAAAAAAAAGCGATCAACTAAAAATAAGGACAATGGAAAACTAGAGCTCTTCCATCAAAGGGATCTTAGCAGTGTCGAGACATCCATTTCAGTTCTGACCACTGACCTCAAAACTGTGAAGGCAGGAAAAATGGTAGATAAGCTGATTTCATTCCAGGAAACCTGCTTACAGACTGAATAAATTCCCTGGGCATTTTGCATAGCCATAAGGAGGGAAATACATTGTCCTGTAAGAGTTAATACACAAGTCACGGCATTCAGACACCTCCCTACCTACATAGACACAAACGGCTACCAATTCACAGAGCTGATGCTACCGTCACACAGGGGCACAACAAGTTAAAGGACTTAGTCAAGCCAAGTCTTATACTCCACTGTGACGGAAATTCAACTGCTCAGGATGTTTAGAGAAACTAACTCAAAACGGGGGGACGGAAGGAAGGTTGGGTGTGTGACAGGTTGCCCCCTGATGTAGTAGGATACTAATAAGCCCCAACCTATTCTGCCAGCCTGGGCACCCTTTAATCCTGTCTTGCTGAGTCAGACTCTTAAACCTCCTCCAGCCTGCGCCCACACACAGGGCCACATCCAGTTGCAGAAAAACACAGACACTGAGCTCAGCAGTGGGAAGACTCAAGGAATTTGCCTCATCACTCAGGTACCCACCTTCCTTGGAATGCAAACCCAAGAGGATCTACCCTCTCTCAATGTGGCATGCAGAGCCTCTTACCAATTTCACAAACTGCGTTTCACAAGAAATAAAATCAAGTTTACTGACTAGAAAGGGTAGATTTTAGAGTGAATGTAAAGGACAGCACACAGAACAAAGATTACTGAGCAAGTAAAATATACAGACTCGATGCACTAAAGACACAGGCTACAAATAGTACTGTCTCACCCTAAATGTTATCTTGGGCAGATTGCAAAGATTCTTGAAAGTCAGTTACAGTAGCCTGCAGCTTAAAACTTCAAGTATTACTACTCAAAGAAAGTCACCCTTCTAGCCTGGGCTCAACTTGTTGCACCTCAGTTCAGTCCTTGTTTCCAGATGTGTCTGGGAGGCAGAGAACCACAATGTCATTCTCCTGCCTCATAGCTTTTGTATATGCCATTACATCTGCCAATGTAAATACTGTGTTTGACCCCAATAGCTGTAGGTCAGGGATGAGCAACAATTTTTTGCTAGGGGCTACTTAAAACATTTTGTAAGTGGCCTCAGGCTACTCCAGAAGGGGCGGGGCTTCCAACTGAAGGGGCAGGGCCGGGATGCTTCTGGGCTTCCCCACCCTCAGACCATGATTGGCCTGGGGGTGGGGGAGCCCGGAGGCACCCATGCCCCTGGCACTGGGAGGAGTCTTCCCGCGGAGGCTCTTTTGCCCACCCCTGCGGTTGGTGCATGTATACAGATGGGCTCTGTCTACACGGGCAGTTTCTTGTGCAAGATCAACTGTTCGTGCTCAAAACCTTGTCTGCTGTCTGCACTGCGCACGTGTTCTTGTGCAGGTAAATTCTCAGCACAGCGTCGGAAAACAGCTTCTTCCGGACGAGTTACTCCTGTCCCCTCGAGGGACGAGCCCTCTTGCGCAAGAGGCCGGTGTCCACAGGCAACGGCAGAAGCCCTGTGGCTAAAACGGCCATGGGAGCCAACTGTTCGTGCTCAAAACCTTGTCTGCTGTCTGCACTGCGCACGTGTTCTTGTGCAGGTAAATTCTCAGCACAGCGTCGGAAAACAGCTTCTTCCGGACGAGTTACTCCTGTCCCCTCGAGGGACGAGCCCTCTTGCGCAAGAGGCCGGTGTCCACAGGCAACGGCAGAAGCCCTGTGGCTAAAACGGCCATGGGAGCTCCCTGC